AGTTCGCTGTTTGCGATTGTAAATCTTGCATGAATTTAATAAACTTTATACGACACACCGAATTAAGGCTTTCCAGTAGACTGTCGAATTTTCCTAGATTGCACCTTCAGGCGGTGATATGTGTCTCCGAGATGAGTCGATATGTGATTTAGTGATGCAGCGCAGGTTCTTTAAAGTTGGAGGTAATTTGGTCGATCCGATGAGTTTCAGGAATTTGCGTGGAAAACAGATTATCCCTAGACACTCTTCGTAGAAGAAGAACTCACGGTCACCGAGTTGTCGGTGCCTTCATTAATTTGAAATCAGTGTAAGGAAAAAGATTCAAATTTTCAACACTAATATGAAATCAGTGTTTTTTTATGTGGGTTTCAAAGACTCAACGCGTCAAGGGTTTACCTCAGTCAGTCAGTCAGTCAGTCAGTATGTTAAATGAGCCAAGGCAAAGATTTACTCTTTTATTCACACTCTTTCAATACTCCTTCAAGCCTTAAAACGCATGCACACATACAATAAATAAACTTGCCTTTATCAAGAAACATGTGACAAAGAAAGCCGAAAAGGACTACCGACTATCTGTAAACAAGAAGCCACTTTATATACGACTGCAATTCATGGCGACATACCAAGCGAGTTAATTCCGAAGAAATTAAGAAAATTAGTTCAAAGAACTTTTAATGCTGGCGAACTACACGTATTATTCTATACACGACCGATGGTGATTCCTCGACTGAAAAATGAAGTACCTAGACTAGCTAGTCACTTCAAATTGTATCTATCAATTCAACTGCGCTTGTGGAGCGAGTTATGTTGGCCGTTGCTCTAGGAACTTGATTTTTCGTGCTCACTCGAGAACATCTCCCTCTATGGCTAATTAAAGGTGTAGTTAAAACCATTAACAGCTCGATATTAGACCATCTGGTGCAAACCGGTCACAAAGCCAGCGTAGAAGGATCCTTCTCTATCATCATCTACCGGGGGCCTTATAAATTGCCAAACTCATCATCGAAGCACCGCATGATCCAAACAGCAGAGGCTATTGCAATTCGCCTAAAACAACCAGTGTTCTGTGTTCAAAAGAAGCAAGTTCAGCTAACCAGCCCATACTACTGACCTGGCCGGCCTTCAGTAGAAACTATAAACTCATGAATTTGTAATATTACCTTTCCTAATTTTTCTGACATTCAGCATATTTTATGTTGATGCTCTTCAGCTGTAATTAATCAGTATTACTGATTTGATGCCATTTAAACATTAATGTCGTTCATAAGACTAATACATTCATTCATTCATTATAATGTATATTTAATTGTAGAACCTGATGATGAATTTATCGAAAAGAGAACTCTTTGTTCCATGTCTCTTCTTTTGAAAACTTGCCTTTATCAATAAAGCCAACCTTGTACAAATAGATCGATTCTTGCATACTGTGATCACGTGGACAAGGAAGGATAGATTTGAAATAATAAAAGCAGTAATGACTATCCAGAGAAAGAAAATTCAGAGACATTTTTATTCCATGATGATGACGAAGAATTCTCGTCTACAGGATCATTTGTGAACGAACACCTTACTGACCTAATCGTATTTTCCGTTTTTCTCCTTCTTTTGTTTTTAGTTCCTCTTTAATTTGAAGTACAATTTGCATGATCTTCATAAATGATCCCCGTCAAAATTCAAGTCAGTTTGGAAAAAAAAATGACGAACTCAAGCATGAATTGTTCAAAATTGAATATTCCCAGGGTTATGGTATTTTACTGCGAATTCAAGGATTGAAATGTGAACTGTTCTCCAGAGTTTAGACGCTCAGTGTAAAAAGAAGTGAGGAGTGTCCTGGTAAAGATGTACAGGTGAATGATCAAATTCACGAGTTGAAGGATAACATATGCTTCATAAAGCATGATGGCCTGGTGAGCGGAATGAAAGGAGCAATAATTATCGAAACAATTGCAGTAGGCATAAATGAAAATCACCTGTTACATGGAGAATGGATGGATGTTTTTGGTTTGTATCAAAACAGTGAAGCTGTTATCGGTATCAGACATATAAATACGCATTTATATCAAACAGAACGAAAAAGTAATCTCTGTCTAAGTGAAATATTGCAGCTCCCAGCAGTCATTGCTTTTAATCTTTACAAACAAGCCATGTGTACTTATGATTGTAATAACAGTAATAATGATAGTGATAATAAAAGAATTAGAAGTATATTAATATTCTTAGAAAGCAACCCTGAGGAAATACTTAGAAAATCCTCCTCCACTCTATCTAATCTACTGCATGATTATTACATAATCGTGAATGCGTCTACCGTCGAAGAACCCCTAGACATGAACACTTTAACGTGGTTTTCAAAGTGAACAGACCGCAAACTTTCAATCATCGATATGCAACACTTGAGGCAAAATATCCTGGAGAAAAGAAACTGCTGAAAGTATTGAATAGACGACATAGATCTGGGCGAAACTATGATGACATATTGTATTTTCATCGAATACCACATCTGGAGATAACATTGATATTTTCCTCCTCTTTCTTATCACCGTCACAAGGTTCTTTTAATCTCTTCAAGAATGGTTGTACTGCTTTACAGTATTACCGTTTAACAATTTCTAGGGATGCTTATGAAAGTGAAATTGGTTATCTGTACCAACAATCATGTCACGCTTCTGATTATCATGACAGTCAACAACAGTTTGAAAATAATAATAATGATAATAATATTATTAATTGTCGTTATAAACAAAAAACGCCACCTAAATCTAGAGATCGCAAGATATCTGACGAATCTGACGCCATTCCAGATGAAGTAAATGTAGCCAACAAATATACTGCTATGCATAGTCCTGATACAAGTAGACAGTTGACCACTTCTGACATGTCAAAGTATCTATTGAAGTCTTACAGGACGTCATATGAAAACTGTGATTTTGTATTAAATTGTTCAAAAGAGTGTCTTCAGTCAAGTGAACCGAATGCGGTCAATTATACACGTGAAACAGACGACGGTGATGATGCTGGCGGATGAACGTTGGTGAACATAATGCATACTGTAGATCAGACTAGAAGAACACAGCCGTCAAGCTACAGACCAGTGTTTATAATAAACAGATACAGGTACATCTATCCGATGAGCTGAGGAAGAAGCATCACAATAAACTGCAACAATCAGATAATCACAGTCCAGAGATCACATATGTCGTAGTAGCCATTGATACCAGGACATGTTCAAAATTTAATGCACTAGAGAAAGGAACTGGTGAAAAGCACCAAAATGCCATCAATTTAGGAATATCTATCAGAGAGAAAGAAGAAGAAAAAATTGCTTCAAGTTGTCCAACTATTAGACCGACTGACTGGAAGAATGCTGGTCAGTGGAAGGAAGCATCATCACTTCCAAATAATGACCATTCGATGTCTTCTGAAGGTAGTAGTAGGCTATCATTGGAAAGGAAAGATGGTCTGAAATGTAGATAGAAAAATACAATGGGAGATTTACAAAGCTCGTCAAAGCCACAAAAACTTTCACTGATCGGTCTACGTCGACGTCGTTCAAGTAGCAAACGTATTGCTGCAAAACAGGATCAAATAACACCGTCCAGCCTTCCGGCTGACTCACCACACGATCACTCCATAAAAATGAAAACGAAAGACAAGAAAAGCCGAAAACTTCACAAGTCGTCTAGTGGAAGCACACTCCAGGCGGTTCCCAGTAAAATTAATGAGAATTGTAAGTTGTCTATTGAAGAAATGCAGCCATCAGTGCCTGCAGACGACCGCGAAGTAAAAAAATCTCAAAGAAGTCACCAGTAATCGAGAAGCTGAAGAATGCTTTTGCTTGTCGTCGTTCGTCAAGCAAAACTAACGACAAGAAGGTGAGTTCAAATCATGATGTTCTCAAGTCATCATCTACTTCGAGAGAATCTGGTAAATCTACTCGCAAAATTCGATGTCGAAAATCTGGACAAACTGCATCTGTAGAAGTTAGTGACTCGAAACCATCACAATCCTTGCAGAAAACCAGTACAGATAAAATACATTTTCATCTGAAAAGAGAAGAAATGAGTCGTGATGCCGTGAACGAAGAAAGTAGTGTGGAAAAGGCTTCAAACAGGTCATCATTAACAAGTGACAGCAGTGGAATAAGTAGTACAGAAAAGCCAGTTAAACGCAGAAAGTTTGGACACCTCGTCACACGCAAGAAGTCATCACGTGGTGGGGATAATCAAAAGACGACAAGCAAAAAATCTATCCCTAATTCTGATTTCTCTTCATCGTCACAAGAACTGAAACGTCGTACACGTAAAAAATCCAATCGCTCTTTCTCACATCATACGACATCTCAGGAAGACCTGAAAACAAAAGCAGTAGACAAAGATAGTGGTGTGAACTTTATCACCTCACAAAACTCCGAGCAATCTCCATCACAAGAACATGAACATAATAAAGATAAAAAGCGACGTAGAAAAAACGATGACTTACATAAATCCGACACCTCGAGTGGATCTGAGAAGTCCACCCGTAAACGCAGAATGTCACCGTGTGTAGGGAAATCGCATAAGGATTCCAGTGAAGATATGAATGCATTGAAGACTTCAGAAACTCCACAGACATTTGATCCACCAGAAGAAATTAGGCTTCACGAGGTTGTGGGAAAGGAGATTGTGACGGGAATGTTACCAAATGCGAAAATGACTGTCATGCATATTTACAAAACTACACCAGTACTGTCACCGAAACAAACCAATCAATACCCATCACAACAGCCAATACAAGGTTCGATTATATCAAAAACGCAAATCTCTTTACCAGGTGGCTTACCAGAAGAATTTAAATTTGAAAGAACTTCCGTTGTTCCACTTGACCCAGTGGTGACATTAACCCCTGCACTTGTTAAACTGCCTTCAGTGACATCTGAATGTGAAAAAACAGATCAGAATAAAATTCCATCGATTTCACATAGTAACTTGAAAATTTCAACAGCCACAATCATCACAGAAAACATGAATGGCGATGATGATGATGATGATGATGATAATGTTCACGATAGCATCGGCAGTAGTGCAACATTACCAAATGCCAATAAAAATGACAAAAGTAGGAATTCTCTACTCTGTTTTAAAAGAAAGAAGTCACCATACAAGACTAAAGGTACCACGCCTAGTGACAGTAAAATTAAGAAACCTACACTTTCAACAAAGCCTTCCAGTGAAGCTACACTTTCAAAAGATACAACCCCTATAAAACATCAAGCTAAAACGTCAAGAAATTCGCCAATATCTTTCACAAACATTACTGAAATATCTCTGTCTAAAAAAGAAGACGAAGTAAACAGGAAGTCATTCAAGGATGAAGACCATGGCGTCACTGGAACTACAATACAACACAGAGATATCGAATCACATGAACCTGTGAAAACTGAAGTTGAAGAGGTTGAAAAGTTATCACTGGAAGAGTATGTTCTACTTCAGGAGAATTTCGACTATTATAACAGAAATTCAGACCAAAGACAAGAAGAGCAGCTGGAACAACCACAACCACCACCACCTCAACAGCAACCACAACAGATGAGTTCGGATGATCAAGAACTCATCAAAAGTAAAGATGTACCATTTGACGGAAACCTGTGCAAAATGCAATCATCACAAGATGATGATATAAGCAAATCACCCTATTTGCCTGTTCTAACTGACCAAAATGAAAATCTACAAAATTATCCAACATCAGTAGGTACTGAACAGTTTGCGATACAAAAATATCCCCTTGAATGTTGTGAATGCTGTCGAAATCATCATCTTTCTATTACATATTGTTCTCCATCCTTATTACCAGATGACTCTGATGCAGTGCTGAAAGAAGAAAATATCATCCCGGGTACTTTAAATTTAAGAATAGTCCAGTCAATTGATAATACTGAACATGCACTTGCAGAGAATAAAATTTCCTTGAATACATTATTTCAACCAGATGTTGAAATACTGGATGAATTAGATCCAGTGAATGCGGTGTAAAATGCAACTGAGCGAAATGCCCTAACAAAACATGAGCCTCCACTGAATCAGACAACTGCTACAAGCTCTAAAACTATCCAACATTGTGAACTGCCATCTGTTAAAATCACTATTACAGCTTCTACATCAAGTCCACAAAAGTGTAAATTCAATGAAAGAAATAATTATTGTATGTGTGGTTGTTCTCTTGTTAACAAGAATACAAATATGCAGCGTGAACAAACAATCGGAAATTCGTCTGCAGAATGTCGAACAGATGAGGAGTTTTCTAGACAGTACACTACTGAGTCTAAAGTACAATTATCACAGTCACAACCGAAGCCATTGCCATTGCTATTGCCAAGAGAATCGCAGAGAACACCAACACCACCGCCAAGATCAGAAACACCGACACCAACACCGACACCGACACCGCCACCATCACCACCATTGTCAATATCAAAACAATCCGAACTATCGAAATCAGTACAGACTATGACATCATCGACAACAGCTTTTAAAACTCCAGCATTACTAATACTGCCTGAAACAGAGATACAAAAGTCGAGAGAATCAGCGCCAAGTGTGTCATCAACAAAAATAATAGCAGCAGCAGCAGCAGCACAGAAACACCCACCTGCAACACCATATGAACGAATAGTGTGTAATTGTTCAGTGAAAGCCAATCACTGTCACTGTTCCAATAGAATATGCACCACTTTCAAGCAAATTGAACAAATGCACTATCCGTACAACTGTAAGCCATATAAATATATTCTTTGTCCTGCAGATAAAGGCTTACAACAGTGTGATTGTATAATTCTGTGTAATCATCATAACGGACTGAGTGTAAGTCGACAGTAATCAACAGTGTATGCATCAAAAGTGTTTTGAGGATATTCGTCATAACAAAGACACAGCATTTCTTTTTCATTTTTATTTTTTCATAATCATGAAGCTTTTGGCTTACACCTCACTTTTCAGTTTATCTGCTTTCAGTAAGTTGAGAATTTATGACTCTGAATGTTATCTGCATTAGAGACAACTTGTCATTAGTTACTAAATATTAAAAATAAACTAATGCTAAAAACTGTGTTTTTCAGTGACAAATAATAAATCGAAAAAAAAATGAAAATTTGATAAATCTCGGTTATTTGCTGTTGACTCAACTGCACTCTCCCACATTATTTTGTTATACTACCCACTCTACTTAATTATCTGTAAGTAGGAGATATTAATTAACCTCCTGTTCAACAACATTCAATTTCCTAGAGATGATCGGAACTTGTAGTTGTTCAACACACGATATCTCACTTCAAGGTTTCCTTTGTGTTTGGCAATAGCTTCCTCAATGGACAGGAGATGTTACTCGAAGGCCTCTAGAACGACACGACCTTATCTCACGTATCAACTGATGGAGAATGATGTCAAGAACTGATCTTCAAGAAGTTATATCCGGTGAGGGAGGGAATTGAATCATAGGTCTGAGTGAATGCATAAAATAATAACAATAGTAGTATGAAACACAATTAAAATATTTGTGATCACAATCCTAGTTAAGTGTCAAGTGGCAAAACAATTAATGTCATATATAGAACACTGATTCATAGGATGGATAGAACTTTGAAGGGATGTGCAATCGTAGGATTAGTAGGCCAATTGAATTAAATGAAAACGTTACGTAGTATTTTGTGAAATTTGATGGTATAGAATTTAACGTTGTGAAAAAAGAATTGATTTAGAGTGACAAGTGGGACAAGTGAAACAATACTGGAGACATGAGCTTGGAATTCAAAGGTGACTTAGCTTCCGATATGATGAAAAGAAGGATATATCACTGTCCCTGAGAAGAACATTCCCTGATGCATCTCTGAGAATAGCCTTTACCAGTCGACCATTGCTGTTCAAAAACCTGAAGGACACGATCCTGTTATCGACCAACTCTATGTGCGTTTATCAATTCGTGTGCAGCTAGGTATATCGGTCGTTCGATTCGAGTTTTGACCAAGAGGATGCAAGAACATTATCCTGCCTGGTGGTTACGAAGAGGTGGAAGTGGAGCCATGAGAAGTGCGGTAATTGAACATCCAGTCAATAATGATCACCTAATGATCTGTATTGCCTCCACCTACAAAGTCATCTACAAGGCAAAAGGTAATTTACGGAAATCACTACGTACACGACTCATCTGTATTGCTGAAGCCATATTCGGCTATCGAATCGGTGAAGCCAGATCTCTGTGTACAGAAAATGTTCGTTCAAGCCCTGCAACTCTCATCGTCTTAATCCCTCTACGCTAAATTATGGTAATCCCTAATCATATTTCGGCTCCACCGATTTTTTCATTTTAGAGGGAAAAGAACAAGAAGTTCAGCAAAGATATCCTTTCGGTGATTTCATTCTCAAAAGCTGTACAGTCGCATTTATATACACACACAGACACAAGTTCAACTCGTCGTTTTCCATTCAGGTTCCACTCAACAGATGGCCTGTAGCGAGATATCATTCAACGGTCTTCTCAGTGTGTCCCCGATGCATCTCCACTCCCTTCGACGTGCTTCATCACTAATAGATTCTTGATTGGCTCGTTCCCACCGTTTTTTGTTGCTAATTCTTTCTGACTGGCCATTCGATCTCTTATATGAAGCCAGCCACAGCAGCTATTGATTGATAAAAGTCTGCAACCTGTTGGAATCGCTTCTTGTTATGAGCCGTTTCTGATTCATCCATATCAAAGAACTGACTGACTTCACATTTGTGTTGATGGTTCGAATTTCGTTGGAGTGCAGACGATTTCCACAGAGATTTCAGAGTGATGAGGGTGTATGCCTTGCCTTCCCGATTCTGGTTCTGACATGGTCATCCATGCCAGAGCCTGTAGCTGAGATGGTGTCTCCTAGATAGATAGATAAGTGAAGGAAGTGACGCCTTTTGAAATTCTTCCCGTTGCTAGTGATTCCTACTGGTTGTTGTTGTTGTTGTTTTTGGGTAGTGTGTATCTCCATCACCTCTGCCTTCTCCGTGTTTGCTTGTAGATGATGAGACTCAGATAGGTTACAAGAATGAGACTACCATATTTGAAAAATCTTGTTTGGCTCTCACGAGGTATGCAACATAGACGGCACTGAAATATCAACTAAATCGGAAATCAAATACCTAGGTGTCATTCTATCTGCTGATCTCTCCTGGTCGTCTCATATCTTAGCAATTTCTAAGAAAATATTCCGTCTTACCTTCTACATTAAGAAGTTAAAACATTCTGGTATTACCCAACCCTTACTCCTACAATTCGTTATTTCTCGCATCCTGCCTATTATTCTCTATTGTTCCCCCTTAGTTTTTCGCGGGCTACTGAAGAAAGACTACAACAAATTACGCAGGATGTTGAATGTTGTCAGCAGAGTAAGCAACGTGCCAATTAACCAGCTTGTTAATATTCTGGTTGACAGGCACATGGACTCATGTGAAAAATGGGCCAAATCCATTTTATCTAACTCACACCACCCTTTTCACTCACAACTCTCCCCTTGCATCTCATCAGGTAAAACAAGAAGCCAATATAGAAAACTATGTGCTCGCACCATCAAGTACAAAAACGCAACCATACCCTACTTAGCTCGTGTTCTGTGTGATAAAGAAAGCATTAGAAGTGATACCTATAATTCATTAAATAGTCAATAGCACAACTGGATCTCGTCTTTCCAACCCGCATCATCAATAGGTACAACATTTTCTTTCTTTCTGTTCCTTTTCTCTCTCTTCTTTTTCCGTTATGTGCTGCTTTGTCTCTTTCTCTCGCTTACGCCAGCTAATAAGACAGCTCCCTCTTTTCTAACACCTTCAAACACTGTCTCAGCTTTACCTTTGCTACTGACATGCCAATATATTGTTGTAATAATGAACTGTGGTTTCCTCAATCTATGTAGAATTCTATTTATTGATAAAGTACTAACTGGATGCAGTACTGTAGTAAAAATGCTGAGAATTCCATTCTGTATCACAAGTACTGTTCTGCAATAAAGCAAATTATTATTATTATTGTTTAATTAATATTAGGAGTCATTGTAGTCAGTAATAATCGTCCTGAGTTTAGCTATCGGCAAATCAATTCTATGAGAGTAGATCACGGATAAGTGTAGGAGGGTGTTGATCCAGATAGCCACACTTCACAAAATCATTCAATATGGGAAGAACAGGAATACATTGTTCAATAAACAAAATAATTAAGTAGAGAATAGTAAAAATCTTGGAATCTGGAAAGCGACGAGGCATAGTTCCGACTGGGAACAATTTGAGCTTTTTTTGAACGTCTAATCATGAATGATCTTGCAGACTTATGTCGTGTTTTCGCCTTAGGAGTATGTGGATTAAGTGTCTTAGTAATGATGTGACGAGAGAAGATAACACACCTTGTGACGGAATATTTATTAGCGATTTGACGTACACATATAGGGAAACTGTGTGTGCCTCATGTAACTTGAAGTCAACTGGTGGGTAGTGACTAGCAGTGGAATCCAGTCCAGGATAACGCGCATTTCGTCACTTTTGGGACTTGTCATCTGGATGTACCGGCATTCCCCAGTGAGTTGTGGAGTTCCCATGGGGGCTCGAACCCAGTGCCCGTAGTTTCAAATAGGATGAAATGCGCGTTATCCTGGATTCCACTGCTAGTCATCAGCCACCAAGTGACTTCAAGTTTCATGACCAGACATTGTCAAAGCATCCACACAATGAGTCAACTTGTAAACTTGAGACCAAGCACTTTAGTCCAATCATTCGACGGAAAAGTCTAAATTGAATTAAATATGTATACCTCATATCGGTGGCGTCGGTGGCATAGCGGTTAGTACGCTCGCTGATCATGCACATGGTCCGTGGTTCGATCCCCGGCCACCGACGCACTCCTTCACCTCGCTAAGCCAGAAATAATGCTGGTGAAGAGGTAAGGTTGGGCATGAGGCTAGTAACCTCACCCTGTAAAATAAGCACTGCTTCAGAAATTTCAAGCCACTAGCTTGAAGCCCTATGTTCCTCTGGGGAACGTGAAGGATAAAAAACCTCATATCAAAATCATCACGCACAGATCCTATGTGTTGTGCGACTTCTTTCCTGCGTATTGTGTGTTTCTTTGCCTTCTTTTCGTGTCTCCCATGTTTTGCCACAATACTGGTTTATTTCTTGTCTTTGGTGTCAAGTGTACCTCTCCGCTATTTGATATTTTGTGCCGAAGCCCAACAATGGTACTAACAGTAAGATAAAATGTCGGGACAGTTGTTATCTCTTTGTATTGATATCCTGGAATTTGATTTGTCTTCAGAAGGTCTTCATGATGAAAAGCATTAGTTTTGTATGAAAACAGAAGCCAGGGAAAGACTGAGACTTAGGCCAGTCAAACACTGCCTGTCAGCAGGTGGAGATTTTGAAGTTTCGTCAGCACCGAAATATTCGCCACCACCAACTAAGAGTTGCCATAGTTTTTGATGTGGTTGTGTTCTCTGAGCTGGATAGTTAATTTGCGAAGCTTTCATCACCCTACTGGGTGACATCTTCAGCGCATACTTCAATTTGAAGTGAGCTTTCAGATTTCTCCACGAGTTTATTAATCATCTCTCCAGGTCGGTGACCACCTTGGAGGTGATTGGCTGTTTTTGTGTGTTTTCACACCTTCTGGGATAATTGTATTGTCACTCGTTGTTTCTTTGACTTGCACTTTGACCCTTTGTGTGTCAGGTTTCTTTCTTATCGGTTGATAAATTTTGTCTATCTCGATGTGTCTATTGATTGATGATTCATTGAAATACCACGCAGGCTTCTAAAAATTCTCTAGCATTCCTGTTGTTTCCTCTGTCTAATATTTGAACGTT